TTCTTCCCATATAAATGTAAGTGGCCCAATGAAAATTTATCGAAAGTATGCGTATGCTCGCCACCTACTCTTCTGAAAAAATAAGTAAGTTAGATTTATAGAAAGTCAGTGCCAGAACAGCGAGTTTTTGCTCGACTCGGCAAACTATTAACAGTGCTCTGTTTGGAGGCGACAGAGCTATTGCTCTCTTAAGGTAAGCTAACTTTTATATAAGCTTGGTAGCAATACACCGACGCGTTAAGTCTCACCAGTCTGACAAAGTACGATAATCTGAAGAAAACTAGAATTTGCCCTCAACTTCTCTTTTGGGCGTGGTAAGTTCGAGTTAATAAAATATGTGTGTTCCCGATTGAATGAAAAGGTTTGCGTTCTAGGTATCTGCACAACGAGAAAGAAGACTTTTTGAGCACCGGATCAATTGGTTTATTGTCCCGAGCTTTCGAACTCATCATCATCATCATCATCTTCTTCTTCAAAGATGTGTGGTGTTTACGGTTAAACCATTTCGATAAAAACGCACGTGCCACCCCCTATAATCTATCTACACTTTACGATCAGCTAATGGTAAAACTGTAGCCTTAAATTTTCGCATTTTTATCCCAGCCAGAGAGCTGAATGACCCCTAGGGGCACTCCATAGCCATTGATAGTATTGTTGTGAAATAAGCCTATGCGGACAGTATTCCACATTGGAGGAGTAACCACGGTGTACCTAGAAAACAGAGCGCAAGCAACAACGACGAATAAGTCCCCTTTCTGGGCTGCGCAGTGTCTATGGGACGTGGATTTATGTATTATTTGAATTTAGTGACACCTGCTTTAGCCTCCTTTCCCAAAATTACCATGCTTTATTGGCAAGAGAACACCAAGACGACTTGACAATGGCGAAAGCATAGCGGCTAGCTCCAATTCTCTGCAGATGCTGCTTTCTACATGCACATGTATGCGCAAAACAGATCCTCGATTTCTTACCATAAAGGCAACGTAACAAAGTAGAAGTTCACGTTCAGCCCTAGGTTCAGAAGAAGTTCAAGTTTACCGACAGGTAGCTGGTTTCCCAGCCCTCACAATGCAGCTATCAGTGATAGATTTACATGTGCGAAGTTGAGCACAGAGTTAAGCCCTTTAAATTGGACTAATTAATTGCAACAAAGTAAGCCTGTGCTTAAGTCGTCGGACGGAATTTGTTATGGAATACACAATCCAATAAGTGTGTATGATGTTCTAATCTGACCCTACATTGGCCATTGTATATTACACTTGATCCGTCATAGAAACAATCGTTACAGGGGCAGTGCTCTGCATCTATGAAGTGCACAATCTCCTCAAACTGACAAATTCAAACACTTTGCAGTATGAAAGTTCGACTAAGTGCACAACAGCCTGGGTACAATTTTGTTAGCTGAGGAGACTGAGTACAGTGACGTAGAATTTGCCAACAGTAGGACGCTGGAAGAAGGGCACGTGCGCGAAAAAGGTTGACGATATGACAAGAAAAAGTAAAGTAGGTAGTATACTCATGAGTAGGAAATCCAGCTGAGGCTCCACGGTTTACCCACATTACCGGCAGGCACCCTTAAACAGCAGTTTTTTTTCAGAACGAACATGTACGGATAAACACTTGAGATAGACGAAAAATTGGTTCAAATGGTTCATCTGCGGTAGTCCGCGCTCATCACTACCCTACTGACTCCTGTTGTCTTTGTTTGCCAATCCTTGTGTGCTCGCGCCTGACAACACTCCCCACATATTCCTTGTCCATTGCTGCTAAAGGCCCGCATTGTCCTATTCATCTCATTCTGCCCATCGATTGGCTGGTTGAGGCGCGCATGTAAACTCAATACCCATGAATGCGCGCTATTTCATTCGACTCGCCGTAGGCGATAGACAACAAGTTCTGCAATCAAGGTTACCCAAAAGCGCACACATTGATACAACTTGTCTGAAGACACAGCTGGCGGCTAGCGCGTAAACTCCTTTCTCGCAATAAAAAAGCTGGTCCAAAATAGGCGGTCTTCTCTGACTTCTGATTTGTGAAAACTTCGTTTTGTCGGCACAAACACGTTCTACGCACCACTCCGAGGGATACATTGCTACTCAATAGTTTACGTAGCACAGGGCCATCGTAATAGGGCGATGAACGCATGGGAGAATAAAAATTTACTTTGAACTAGCACGGATAGGAACCGAAGGGTTATTTCTATGGATAAGGAGAACCATTTCATGTAATTATACTGAAACGATTTTGGCCTTTGAGTCCTTCCGAACGTCGCCAATATTGACTTACGAGGTTTGGAGTGGGCGCCAAAGTTCGTAGTAGGAACTGCTGCGGACACCACTTTGTCGTTCCTGCGGTTCTGGCGACCTACGAGGAAAAAAAATCAGCAAAGAGAGTTAGTTGAAGAGGGCGGTGGGAACGAGAGTACATGCATGGCAAAAAAGCTCTCCACCCACTATAGATTAACAGACGTACTTGGGAAAGAGGCTGTTTTAGTAAGCATACCCACCACTGACTTCGTCATGCGTTCATGTCTGGTAAACCTGTGACCCACCATGTGTTGGGGACAGATTTACACACAAACGTCAGACCCCGGACAGGTTATCGGCGTTCGGGAGAAAACTATCTCTACTAGAAACGATGATGATGATGCTGGTGAAGGTTGATATCGCCAGACTCAAAGCTGCCTCTATCAGCGTCATTGACCTTTCGAAAATACAAATAAGCACGCACGCACGCACGCACGCACACGTAGTCCATTGCCTCAAATCTGGTTAAACAATAACTCGTCAGTGGTTGTGTTAGTCGGCGTGTTGGAACTGTGGTTTTCTGTGAATTATTGACTCGAAGGCAAATGTCTGCATCTACCCTATCAACAAATCCGTTTAAATTTCAAGGATTGGATAGGACGGCGTGAAAGGCCTGTGTGGCCTGAGCTACATTCCCTGTGTCGTTGTGTATCGTTGTGACATGAAACATTTATGGGCAACAGATGTACTAAATACGCCGCCTTGGAGTACTGCCGCAGGATAGTCTGCGACTGCTCTTTCATCAGACCAGTTAAAAATGTTTACTTTTCGGGTAGACCCTTCTGGGGGCCACATCAGTATCCATCACCTATGGTTGATTCGGGTCGGTTTGTCAGGTAAACGGGCGCAGTACACAGTCTTTTACTTTATGCTCAGGCCAATTCTGGACCAACTGGCTTCCTCTACCAAAAGAGTCTAACCTGTGGCTCAAGCCGTCGAGACGGAGCCCCAAGGCAAAACGGGATGAGTGTGTAGATGAGCGTTCTTCTACCATTACTAATATACCTAATCGTAACCCACAGGACGAGTCTGTAGCTCAATGGGTTAGAACGCTGGGTTTCTAACCAACAGGTCACAGTTTCAAGCCTCGATTGGTGCACACCACCTGGGATTCGGCATGGCCGACTGATGATGGCTAATGAACCAGAAATGGCCATTCCAGTCTCCCTTGTCCTGGTCGGCATTGTTCTTCTGCCTATATCTTTCGCCGCTGTGCGTCTGCTGGCGGGACTCGAAAGTGAGCCCGAAGACACAACGGAACGAGTGCGTCCCCCGACGCGATCGGTGGGCGTCCCCTAAACTAACCTTAAATGATAGGCATTTTTTAAAAAAAAGGGTACTGGGAGGAGAAGAGACTTGTCTACCATGTCGCACACCCCCCAAAAAGCAAAGAAGCAACGCAATAAATGACAGAACTTATGAGAACTACTGTGTAGGACTATCGATTTAATTGTTGTAAATGTGGCCAAAGCTGAGATATCGCCGTCTACGTTACGCCTTGTGTGATCCCCCAAGGAAGAACACAACAAGAAGTGCGCAGCAGGCAGAAGTCTTCGTACAAACCTAGTACATTATACTTAATCAAGCGAATG